GCTTAGATCAGGTTTTCGTATATTTCCTAAAGGCGAGCGTACCAATGTGTCCTTAGCATGTATTTTTGAGCTCTTTGGAAGCACACAGTTAATGATGGATTAGCTGACTGTCGGTCGACCAAAGTTAGATGCCATAATATTATGTTCAGAGCCCCGATTACGGTAATTTTTAACGTCTCCAATCCAGACGCGCTCTATCGATTCTGCGATACGATTGGTCAAAACAGCTGACGTACGCTGTTTTGATCATTACGCTGACCAATCGTATCGCAGAATCGATGAAGCGCGTCTGGATTGGAAACTTTAAAAGTTACCGTAATCGGGGCTCAGATCTTTTTTATTTATATTTATGGTCTTCCCTTGTCATCCTACGGTCCAAATTTTTAAAGTAGGTTGATTGCAGCAATGTGTCGAGAGAGATTTGAGATTTGATTTGAAATTGGCCGGAAGATAAGTTAACGACGTCTTAAATGATAATATGGTGAGACTTCGGGGCTTGCTTACATGCGCCACTTGGTCAGCCAAGCATTATTGGCATTTAGCTGACTTTGCAACAGTGTAGTCACTTTAAGATCACAGTTACATTTGAGGAAAGCCGCAGCGTTCTGGTGTCTGAGCTGCTTTACCAGTAAATGTTGTAGAGTATCGGACCAAGTAAAATTTTCAAATCTAATGAATAAAGGAGGTAAGTTGCACTCGATTTGCATTGAATTAATTGGTGAGGTGTTCATTGCTCCTAATATAAGTCGCAAATTCTTATTTTGGATTTTTTCAAGTTTCTCTACAAGTTTCTTATCAGAGGCAAAACAAAAGAATGCATATTCAAAATGGCTTCTTACCAAAGATTTATATAATAATAAAAGTATTTTAGGATCTGCACCCCAATTGGTTCCAGTAAGAGATTTAAGAATATTTGTAGCACGTAGAGATCTTTCTATAAGGCAATCAACATAGGGTTTCCAAGAGAAGTTTTGTTGGAAAGTAACACCTAAGAATTTTGCACCTGATTCCAGTGGTAGTTCTTGATGGTTATATTTAATACCCGAACTTAATAAATGTATGCAGCGTTTCTTAAAAACAACAACTTTACTTTTATTTGCATTTACATCTAAATTCAAATACGATAGATAATTATGCAGTTTATTAAGTAGTACATTTATTTTGCTTGTTAACGTGGACAAATTTGGGCCTTGAGTATATATTGCTAAATCATCTGCAAATTGTAAATTACATATTTGGGGATCAGGTCCCAAAATTTCATTTAGCCTATGGATGTATATAATATACAATAACGGGCTCAAAATACCTCCTTGACAAACTCCTTTGAAAGAGAGTCTTGGACCATATAAAAAACATGAAAATTACTATGCAACTACATTAGCAAGTTTGAACAGTTCAGTATTCTGAAAATCTTGTTTTATACTTTTTCAGCGTCGTTTTTTGTCGTAGTTGGGTTTTGGGATGTCAAACCAACGTCAGCGAGACTTCAAAATAAATGTGCTTCAGTGGGCTGAGTGCGAGTTTACACCAAACGCGCTCACTGTATGAAAATTTTAGTTCTTGAACGTTTCCCGCTAGGGGCACTGTACAATCCGTCATACATTTGCCATTCTTTGACGCGCTCACTAGTGAAAACTCACTCTAGGTCCTCAGTGGGTCTAGACAAAGTGCAAATTAAAATCGCAAACCAGTCGATAAGTGGTCGAAAAGCCCCTTTTTTGTATGGAGTTTTGACGGATTCGATTTTCGATTCGATCAAAAAGTGCGTTTTGTCTAGGGGGGCAGGTATAGATGACCCACGCTGAACTGTCCCGCCAAACTCAATGACAGGGGGGCGCTACCATCGTTCAACTATATGGTTTCCAACATGGCAAAAATCTGAAACAGCGATCCGGTATTGACGGTGGCGCCCCACTGTCAATGGCATCGACAGGACAGTCCAGTATTTTGGAACTATATGCTCTGTCACGTCATAAATGTCAATGGGTGATGGACTCCGACTCCGCTCCCATACCTCAAGCACTGACTGATAAACGCTAGACTTAAAGTTCAGTAGCCTTATTCACTTAACAAAACTTGAACGACAACAAATCGCTGAGGTGAGTTCCCTTATTTTCCTGTGTACCCTTGGCTGTTCCCTTGATGGTACAGTGGAAAATAAATTTTAACCGCTGTACCCTTGGCCGTAAAACCCAACCAACTTAAATTGTACACGTGACCAAGAGGACTAGCTTTTCCTGAATTTGGCCAAAAAACAAAAACAAATGAACATCGAGAAAAACAAATGAAGTAACATGGACGTAAATAAAAGTAAATCCTAATTATAATTAATTAAGTACTTATAATAAAGACAATATTACGCCATTTTCCTGTACCACTTCTGAAATGTCAAAATTGTAGTACTGTCGACCGTCATGTAATAAAACAATACCGCCATTCCTCTCAATAAAACAAGGTATATCATCGTCAATGCAATTAGCTTCCATGATAAAATTCACAAAAAATATTGTAAAATCAGTTATGAAATAACATTCACAGGGACAATTGGGCAGAAGAATAATATCAAGATATCATATTTCTTTTTCAGAATAATAAAAATAGCCAAGTGCGTGTCGTAGTCGTGCCACCACGTGCAATGTAGGGTTCCGTAGTTGTCCGTCGTTAACACAATATATTTCAGAAAAACCAAGCAATTACTTAATCTAATCACTTTATTTAATATTTTCTTCTAAGGAATTTTCACTAGTTAAGAAATTTTATAATACATGAGTTAATTGACTATTACTCTAAAAAGAAACGGTAACATTAAATAATAAGTTCAATATCAATCCTAAAATAGGTACAGGATTACACTTAAAATGTAAAACTATAGTCTCAATCTCATTAAACATAGGTAAATATTAAATCTCATTAAATATGGGCAACTAAAAAGTATCATCTAACTCCTAACTTACGAAGTTTGACCTTTCATCATCAGCTCACCTAAAAAATCTGAAGTAATACAACTGTATGTACATACGTACCTAAAATATTTAAAGAATTATTCTCCAACTCGTAACGGTTAAGGAGTTTTACCTTCCATCATCACCTCATCAACATTAGATGATGACTACCAGATGCATATACTTGAATATCTTTAGAATAAATATTAAAAACGATATACATGCCTATAAAATTTAAAGGTTGTCCTCGATTTCCCTAGGATCCCATCATCAGATCCTGTCTTGGTGACAATGGGACCACCACAGAAGTGTACCCTATCGAACAAAAAAAAGAATTTTGAAAATCGGTCCACAATTGACGGAGTAATCGGTGAACATAAATAGAAAAAAAAAACATTACATACAGCCGAACATATTATAACCTCCTCCTTTTTTGAAGTCGGTTAAAATGGCGTAATATTGTCTTTATTCTATGTACTAAATTAATTATAATGTACTTAATTAATTATAATTAGGTTTTACTTTTATCTACATCATTTTACTTCATTTGTTTTTCTCGATGTTCATTTGTTTTTGTTTTTTGGCCAAATTCAGGAAAAGCTAGTCCTCTTGGTCACGTGTACAATTTAAGTTAAAATTTATTTTCCACTGTACCATCAAGGGAACAGCCAAGGGTACACAGGAAAATAAGGGAAAAAGTTTGCAACACGTCTTTGTTACAATAGGGATGTTTCCTGGGTCAAAAAGCAAGAGTTTTAATTAGTCCGTCAGGTAACTTATCAAAAAATACTCTACACGTATTTTTCACTTTTTCAAACTAATGAAAATTTAAAGAGATAATGCGCGCCAAAGTTCATAAGAAGAGACCCGTGACGTCAATGCGTGCATAAAAGTGCCGCACGTTGACTTGTGACGTCGTGCGGAACTTCAACGCACCATAACTATGTAATTATTTGTTAGATTGACAAATAAAAATATATGTGTCCAATATTTTTTGATATTAAACATGACGGACTAAAAAAATTTTTTTAGGAAACTAGCCTATTATTGGAATAAGGTTGTGTGTGTTGGCATCTTTTTGGCCACTTTGGCTGTTAAGAATTATTTGACGCTATACCAGAAGACGTAGTGTGGGCAGACCAGTTCCCACTAGCTAGACTAAAAGGTAAAAGTCACGGGAAGCACCTGGATGCGGGCAGCGCCAGCAGTGGACGTATCATTCGGCTGGAAAGACGATGTCTGAGACAGTCTTAACAAAAATCAACAAAAAATATTTTTGAAAGTGTGCATGACTTTTTCATTCACAATCAACAGTAGGTAGTTCAAAGTCACAAACTGTCGCCAACGTAGTAGCCTTGACCTTGAAGCAGCCACGAGCTATGAATTTGAAATACTGGCACTCATCCAATTTCCTAAGAGGTGTATTGTTGATTGTTGCCAAGTGTGATTTGCCTGCCAACTGTTGGATTCGGTTTTGTAGTGGAGCAATAAAATAAAACTGTAAGGTTCTATTTATGTACCCTACTAGCTTTCCGCCCGCGGCTTCGCCCGCGTGGAATTTTGCCTGTCACAGAAAAACTATCGCGCGTGTCCCTGTTTCAAAAACCGGGATAAAAACTATCCTATGTCCTTTCCCGGGACTCAAACTATCTCCATGCCAAATTTCTACAAAATCGGTTCAGTGGCTTAGGCGTGAAAGCAAGACAGACAGAGTTACTTTCGCATTTATAATATTAGTAAGGTATATTAAGTAATACCTTAAAAGGTCTATACCTTAAGGTAGCGCTTCTTAACTAAGTCAGTGCCTGAGGTATGGGAGCACCACGACTTTGACTTATGATGTGACAGAGCATACAAATCTGAAGGAGATTGGAGTCTCGTTGACGTTTGACCGTCACAAAACGACCGTCACCACGCCGCTACCTCAGGCACAGACTTAGTTAGCTAGGATCTTTTAACTTATTGGAGACTTATACGTTGCTTTTTGTCTGTTATTTGAGTCTTCCATCTATAAGAAAAAACATCATCTTCTGTTATCATTTATTTCAAACACGTCATTATAATTTTTTTTGTGTATCGAAGTATAATTTTAATTTTCACGGAGTCCTGCAATATTCGTTGAAAAACAAACTGTCGCTTTCGGTGAAATCTAACAGATCTTTTGACCCTAAACCATGTGCACTCATTGAGGGAGTAGAATGGTATGTAAACAGTAATTGCTTATCTCGATTCGTGATTTTCCTCGATGCAGGATTCTCGTAGTCATACCCATACACTTCTAAAGAATGGTAGGATTCTTCCAAATCTGTATTATAATCTACCTTCTTCCTTTTTGAACTAACTTCGGAGTATTTCCCTGTAACTGAAGGTGTGTACGGTACAGGTTTGCTTTTATTCTTAGTAGATTTCGTACTCGGAGATATAACTTTTCTTCTTTTAAACATGCATTCGGGAAAGCCGAAATCTTTATGTTTTCTGTGAGAATCTTCGAAGTGTATAGTCTTCTGGCATCTACGTTTATTCTGGGCTATAACCTGCAAAGCTTGGTACAAGTTCTGTGGTTCCTCAAATACGTCATCGTCCATTCTTAGCTGCTCTTTGAATAAATTAAGCAGTGTCTTCTTCTTTTCCCTTCTGGAGGAGGTTTTCTTCGTTTCTACTACACTTTGCGTTTTCAATTTCTTCGTCATCGGCTTTCTCAAGAAAGAGAACGATTCGGCGTGGAATTTCTTCTTCCTTGGACATTTCAATGGCACCTCGCGTTGGGGAGATGAATAACCTTGATCAAATTCTAGATCTTTCAGGCAGTAGAACTGATTAGAAGGCTGTGATGTCTCAGTTTTCTCAGGGCACCTAACGTTGAGTTTTTTGGCCACTGACTCGTCAATTTCTAGTGGAATTTTAGTGGAGCTAGCATCGCTGGGAGGGTTCGGCGCTTTATCATACTCTGCCTTTACATTATAAACACTGATTGTTGTTTCTAGGAGATCTACGAAGAAATTATAAAGTCCTTTGTCTTTCTCATTGGTAGCTTCTTGTGTCGGCTCTTTTTTATTCTCAGCCACTAGAGTCGTTGGGTCATCAATCCTGACCCTCTTATCCTTTCTGCTTTTCCGTCCTTCCATTATCTCTCTTGCTAAAACTGATGCTACTTCACTTATGTTTTGTTCTATAGCATCTTTATTCTGCTGACCTTTCTTGACTAGAACAGGCAAGTTGGACCAGTTGAACGAGTCGTTTTCAGAGTATATCGAAGGCGTCTGAATTATGTCCTTCTTCGATTGTAAAACGACCACTTGTTCTTGTTTTATTTCTTTGTCTACTTCATCGTTCAGTGCTTTAGATCTAAATTTAGTTTTTCTTTTAGGTCTAGCTTCTTTTAAGTCGTCATTTGTCAAATTATCAGTTCTTCGTCTAACATTATTGTGTCTTCTTACCTTCTTCTTGCATAGAGGATCGTTGGCGTCAGGATATTGGGTACCAGTGGTGGATTTGGATAGAATGGTCAGAACTGAAGCTAGAAACTTCTTGTTGCCGGGTCGTGGTCTAGGTGGAGCTTTTATAGGTCTCTCTTGGACTTGGTTTGTCACTGGAATACAAAATTTTACGTAACGTCAATAAAATATACCTACCTCGGGTCAAGTAGGTAAGTAAACTATGATATCTTTTAATATTTCAAGTAAACCAATCACCATGCTAAACTAAACAGAGCTTGCAGTGAAGGTATCGGCCAACGGGACTATTCCCACATCTTGTTCCCACCGCTGCAACTCCTGTGCAGCCAGGATCTATAGCTTGACTGCCAATAAAAACCCAACCAGTGAAGGCCAAGTTTGTACTGGGTAAAGAACTGTCATAGGTCCCACAAGGAAATTAAATTAGCGGATGAACAGGGTCAGGAAAGCAAGAGATTTTGCTCTATGACGCTTTTCTTTGAGAGAGGTTAAAGTCCAGCTGTGAACGGACATTGGCTGATTTTACCTATGCCACCAGCGGGATTCGAACCCGCAAGCTCACGTCTAAACAACCCAAGTGCCAGCAACTTACCCAGCTCATTGATGGCCTTAATCGTCTTCTTCTCCACGTATACCCCTCTTTTCTTCAACGCATGTGGCTGGAACTCTGCGTTGCTTCGACTTTTCTTATTATGATGCTCAGAGCGCGAGGTTTTCGCGCTATTCGAAGACTTAGACTTCACCACACTGGATTTTGTTTCCATGATGAGCTAAGTCTACTGAATGGACGATGTTCAATACATTTTTGTTTTTATAATTTTTTGTTACATAATTTTTCTTGGGTTATGTCGAAAATGGGTGGGTGACGTTTGTGAGTGACAGTGGGGTGATGGGAAGGGAAAAGTAATGGTTCAAGTTAGAGGAGGTTTTATTTTTGTCTCTGGTTTTACTAAATTACATATTTTTGGAACTGGAAGCCTTGAGAACCTTTCTAGGTAAAAGCCTAAGCACTAGGTGAAGAAATCGACGCTATTTCAGAAGTTAACTATATTTTTGGGAACCTAGAAATAAAAACATAACATATCCAACCTGTAAATCAACTGACTCCTACAAAACATTTTGCCAAACAAAAAAGTAAATCAAATAAATCAAGATGGCACTGACTTGAAATGTCATTCAAAATTAGGTTAAAATTTTCAGTGAATTAAATTTTTTGGCATGGATAAGAGAAATTTTAAGAAAACAGAACAGACAGACAGAAAACAGGAGAAAAGGGATATAAAAAAGGCAGAGAAACCAGTTAAAAGAGTATTTGATTTTGACACTAACGATGGTAAAGTTCCACAGGACAAATTGGACCCAAAGAAAGGCGAAAAACAAGCTAAGAAAGTAGTTTTTTCTATAACAAATGATAGTAAAATATACCCAGACAGGGGAGACTTGAAGAAAGCCGAAAGGCTACCTATAAAAGCAATAAATGCAGTTGCAAATGACGTGAAGGTTCATCCAGATAGAGGGGATTCTGATCGCAAAATAATAAAAGTAGAGAAACCTAAGCTTACCGTGATCGTGAAGAAAGAGGAAACTAAAACTAGACCAGAAAACCTCATCTCAAAAGAAAATGTAAAGAAACCTGATACAGACGTGAACAAAATAGCTGATGATAAACGTAAAATAAGAGAGAAATACACTTTGAAGAAGAGCCCTTTACAAGTTATTCCTAATGTTATGAAGAAGGAAGAACTATTGAAAGTAGGAAATAATATCAAACCAACAGTTGCAGAAGTTAAAAGTGGTAAGCTGAATCACTATTAATTACCTATTTTGTGCTATAAAACTATGCTATAACTCGAAATAAAGTCAAGTCTATAGATTGAATTGATTAATGTATTTTGAAGGTAGCTATTGTGAATTTGTGACAGTTCTATTGCATTATTTATACGTAACTTAGTAATAACAGGATCTAAAGCCCGGTCACCGAGCATGTATAATTTCGTCCAATGACCCCAAGCTACCCATTCTTATCCTTATGACGTATGACGTTACAAAAACACCCTCCCGTGCCACTCCCAAATCTCAGGCACTGACTGACTTCTATACCTATAACTAATAATGTTCTTACTTCTTTCCCACCAGATCGACCTCCCAAAAAGCCCAGCGACGTTCCCAAAGAAAAATCCGACGAGTCCAACGAATCTAAACAATCAGTAACCACAAATAATCCACCAAAACCAGAAAAGAAGGACACAGTCCAACGAAAACCCATCATCAGAACGATCGCTTCGAAGAACGATACGAAAGTATACAAAGCAGTTACATTTGTAGATCAGAAGAAGAATAAGCCTACGTTGTTACTAAAAATACCAAACGAAACGGTGAAGAACTCTAAAAATGTAACCGAGGGTAGTGTGAATTTGAAGAAGATTACACTGAGTAAAGAAAGCATAAAAGAAAAGCCTCTGAAGAGGAAAGAGAGACGGAAGAAGGACAAGAGATCCCGGAGGATTGCCTCCCCAGTTCTTTCAGTCAAAGCTAGGTCACCACCAACTGAAGTAGCTAAATGGGCACCCTCAAGCATTAACAGGCACACAAAACCGTACTATGAAGCGTGGGTAAGCACGACGCTAGCGGCAATTTCGAAAAATTCCAGAAGAGACAAACTGTTTCTGGAGAAACAAAGCATTTTGCAAAGCTTCCAGCGAGCGCTGACAGAAAGACCAGAAACACCTGAGTTGGTATACGAAAATTTCACAGATGAAAAGTATACGGGAAGGATAAAAGTCAAGCAGAGATAAATTAACGATTTTTGTTTATTGTGTCTTTAATAGAAAGTTCCAATAAAATTATTGATGGTGATATGTAAGCACAGGTTCAGAAGTGTGAATTCTAATGAAATAAAAGAGGTTTAAGTTTACAAAATTTTGTTTTATTTATCTACAGGTGTAGAGCATTCTGAGTCTTGTCAGGCCTGTTCATCTCCGCGAATTTACATCGAAAACAAAACACGCACGATGGCCCACCTACAGGATACTATTCGACAAGGTCTCACATACGAGCGAACATTGACTCACGCACGCGTATTCTTGTGTATGATGAAAGAAAATAAAGAAAATGGTGTACTAAATACTGTGCAGTATTTAACTGCCTAAATAATAATAAAAACACAGAATGTTTTTTAAGTTGCCTCAAGACACTGAGAGGTAAATAAGTAGTTAATATTATTCATGATAATTCATGCTAAATCATGTATTTCCGCAGTTTGGCACCTCACGTCACACCATTTTACCGAAGTCAGCCCTATAGCTTCGGCGCAGTGCCGATTACTGACGTTTGTCAACAAAATGGTGCTTGACTCTTGAGACAAGCTAAATTACACCATATTGTTAATGACATTGAGCATACATTTTTTTAAATACCTTCGCGAAGTAAAACTTCTGTACGTAGTACATTATTATTATTCTGTGGTCTTGTGGCCTAATTCACGTATTTTGACACAGTCAAAATCTCGCTGACGTTCAGAAGTCGTCCCATTGAAAAACTGTAACAGGTCTAAATCCGTATTCACAAGGGTCATTTCGATAGAACGATAACTCGATAGGATCGCAAACTTTTTGGCTACTTTGAGTGTCACGAACTATTTGATGCTGACTGTAGGTACTTACATAACAGGTTGATTTTCCCGAGACTGCCTTAGCCCTCGTTGCCTTTAACTAAGAATACCTACTTTATTGGATGACATCCCATCTCGAACATTGATTCTTCCAGTGACTTGGCCCACTTTTATCTTGCTGCACGGGCCACGTCGCACGGAAGTCGGAAGACTCCTTAAAATTCATATTTATTTACGCAACTTCATATTTACCTACAGAAAGAATGTATGAAAATTATTTCAGATATCATGCGTATAAGTAAGATGCGTAAAAAACTAATAACATGCGAACGAAACCAGTAGTAAGTTAACTAAATCAAAAGGCTAACGCCTTAATTTCACAAATGTTTCACTTCGCCGGACGACATTAGTTCATCTAGTCGTTCTAGGAACTCCACCGGGTCGTTGTATGTATCGAAGCTTAGGTTCCATCTGGATGTTATGTTTTCGGTCTGATCCATGGTGTACGACATGTTAGGTTTGTCGTTGTCTAGTTCTTGGTGCATCTCTGTGTCTTCGAAATCGGTTTCTGACTCACTGTCTTCGGCGGACTTACTGGCGGACTGGACTGGTTGATGGGACTGCTTGGTTCTGAGTACTTCTGTGAGGTTCTGTCTCAGTTCTTGTACGGTTCTGTTCTCCGTTTTTATGTTTCTTCTTTTGCACTCGTTCTCAAGTTCTGTCTTCTTGAGTTTGTATATCCAAGATGTCGGTTCTGACATGTGTAATTTTCAATTTGATGCGAAGTTTTGCGTTCCTTGTGGTCTTTCGCTTCTCTAGCGATCTGGTGTTCCCTGTAGGTTCCGTGGGTTATTTAGTTGGGCGCCATTGCAACGGGGCGTCTAAGCTAGCTCAGTCTGACACCCCGCTGTTTAGTACTAAGTCCCAGTTCGCCTTCTGCGATGAGGGATGTGTACCTATCCAGGATGCCTACAGGGATATTTGACCAAGGAAACGCACAATCAATAACACAATGGCACTTATAATTCAGGTTCCACAATGGTTCACTTATTCTAGTTTCACTGACTCTAAATCGCTATCGTTTAATAATGAGCAAGTTTACGAGTACTTTACAAGTTATATCACAATTTACTAATTACAACAAGAGGAATAATGACGCGCCCGGTTCGCGTCCCGTTAGCTAGTTTTCGTATCCGCGAGAGGGGCGGCGCCCTGTGCGAGGTTTATCGAGTGTTAGTCTGGATACTTATAACTAGGGGGGTAGGATGTGGTTCGTTAGCTCAAGCCAGAGACCGAAGCCTCGATAGTGAGTACGACCACTAGGGAAAGGCGTTGGACCTACGAGGTGAGGGGGTGTGAAGTTCAGGAAGGGTGGCAGCAGGATTGCTACCGCAGGTTCGGGATGAGTATCTCATGCACTACTCGGTAAGGACGAGAACCGGTTGGCTATCAACGATAGAACGTCTCGACACGACGCTATATGGCAAGCCGCGGATTAATGACGAGGTATCGGATCAAGCCAGAGTCGAACAGTTAGGGTTAGTAAGGAACAATGTGGATAGCTATTCGCTAGGGACTCTGTGCAATGCAGCCGAGGGAACGATAGACGCGCGCGCGAACGTCTGGCTGTTGCAATGGCTCCCGAGCGAATGCTAGGCGCCCGCGGTCGCCGCCGTCTCATATATTAGCTCGGTCCGTGCGGCGTGCGGCCGCGCAGCCGTAGGGTTGTCAAAATCTCTGCGCTCGGTGCTAGGGTTGTCGATGCGTCGCGGGGCGCGTCACAAGGTCATTGCTGATTCGACAAAATATCACTTGCACAATTACTTACTTAGTGAAAGAGCTGAATTCCTATTACTTAGCAGATAATAATTATGTTCACACAAGGTGATTCAAGATAATTATTATAAAATGCGAAAGTGTAACTAGTGTAACTCTGTACGTTTTTTTTCAAACCGATTATAATGATCCAGCTTTTGCCCGCGTGTAATTTGGGTTTTGTCTGTCACAGAAAAACTTTAACCTGCGCATCCCTGTTTCAAAAACCTGGATTTAATAAAAACTATCCTATGTTTCTTTCCCAGGACTCATGCTCAAACTGATTGTTAGATGCATTTTCCTATATTTTTATTTTCTTGCCCCAAGTAAAAAGAAAGACTATAATTATACAAAATTTTGCGGTGTTAAAAAAAATACAGAAAGCGTTCGGAAATTAAACAAGAAAATAAGAATTATCGGAAGGATTATTGACATGATGAATTTTATGCTCAAATCTCGGAATTGATCAAAACAATACGGGCAGGCATAAAGGTAGCCAGGAAGGCGCTGGACGCAGGCCGCTACCAACCGGGCAGCATGGAAAGCATTGGGGGAGGCCTATGTTCAGCAGTCAAGTGGACGTCCTATGGCTGAGATGATGATGATGATGAATACGGGCAGAGGTGTATAAATAATACCAAAATGTAGGCTGTTTCATGTGCTATATTTGATAATAATAGAACATTAATAAGATTAACTATTACGATAGCCGTTACATTTCTAATGAAATTCATACAAAAATATGCCAATAATATAATTGGACGTGAAAGAGTATATTTTTAATTTAAAAATAACACATACACAAAAGGCTGTGGCAGTTTTTAAAGCTAGCTTGCCGATTGTACAATCAGCGTCAAATAAGTCGTGACACCCAAAGTGGTCAAGTTGACAACACATCCTTATTCAAATTGCAACAAAGACGTGTTGCGAAGTTTTTGGCTACTTTGGGTGTTACGAACTATTTGACGCTGACTGTATTAGACACCACGCACACTCAGACTTAGTCGGCTGGTATAGTCCGGTCGCCGAGCACGTAGAATTTCGTCCAATGACCCCAAGCTAATTACGCGCGAGCGATAAGGATGGGTAGCTTGGCGTCATTGGACGAAATTCTACTTGCTCGGCGACCGGGCTTTAGTCGCTTTTTCAATTTGTATGAAGAATCGGCTGATATACCAAATGGCTGTAGCGTGCACATGAACTGATTAACAGCCCGACCAAACTATCGGCCGACAGTCTGTAGTTTGCCTGCAGGGCGTCTTATGCCCGTTTTCACCATCAATCCCTAATTTTTAAGTGACTCCTATGAAAACAAAATTCCTGTTATGTATCGTGTTACACGTCGTGTTATAGGGGTAACTAAAAATTAGGGATTATTGGTGAAAACGGGCATTAAAGAACTATTAATAAACATACAAAATAATATAACCATTTAGTTGCAGAACTCACAAATAACATTTCTATTAAACCTATTAAGAAAGTTGTTATTTACTATTCACTTTATCCAAGACTTATCACAAACGATGCTTGCTAAGTGAATCAGCAAATCGAACGCACAGTTGAATGGAGCTCTGTGATTGGTTCGTGTGTCACCCTGTGCGTCCACGCGCACTGTGAGACCTCATAGTAATGTTTATGAATACGGGCGTAAGTTAAGGGATTTTAGCAGCAAGTGGCGAAATATAGGCAGTAATTATACAGGGTGGAATTTTGTAATGCCACCTGCAGGGAAAGTGCTCTTAATATTGAAGATAGAATTTTTTTCTCAAAGAAAACATTCCTTTATTTTTGAAAAGAAATAGAAATAGCATTCAAAGATTTCCAAAAATTTGCTTGCCATCCCCGGGAATCGAACTAACTAAAATCTGTTATAATCTTAAATTATTTTAATTATGTACAGAAAATTTTATGATATGGTAGTGAAATTTTTCGAAAATCTTTGAATGCAGTTCTCTTTCTTTTAAAGAATAAAGGAATGTTTTCTTTGAATAAAATTTTCTATCTACAGTATTAAAAGTACCTTCCCTCCAGGTAGCATTACAAAATTCCACCCTGTATTTTTGACTTATTAATAAAAAATAGAATGACATAAGGATAATCGGCTACGTTTATCTGTAGTTATTAAATTTATGTAATCTACGTGTATTTTGAAAACGAATTATTATTTGGACGCCCCTCTAATTTGAACTATAGGTACAGTCAGTGTCAAAATTAAATAGTTCACCCAAAAAAGTTCCCAAGACGTCTTTTTTACGATTGGAATAAGGTTGTGTTGTCAACTCAGATCATAGAAAGAGGTTGTCAAGTTGCCATCTTTCTGGCCACTTTGGGTGTTAGGAAGTATTTGACGCTGACTGCACATACATTATTTTATTGTTATAAAAAAGGCCATACAAAAAATTCCGTATTAAACAGCAAGGTTGGTTTTACCAATTAATTTGTTTAATAAAATTTGTAAACAAAACAAAATAG